TGAGCTTCAATCCAATATTGTTGTTGGTATGTACCATCAAGTCAACTCTTGACTCCCAGCGACCCTGTAAACAACACCCTGCACCGTCCTCACCGTCCATGAGCGGCTCCAGCCCAGTGCTACCTCCACTGCGTTGACCCATCTGGAGGGGCTTCTCTTTCACTGGCCCTCCACCCTTCTAGGCATGATGTCTTTTTCCAAAGACTCGTCCGTCAACAACAAGCCCAAAATATGTAAGATAAAATGGCATCATCCTTGCCTCCACGGAGCTCCCTGGCTGCACCATCTCCACGATGTATCTGCTTGTTCTTCTGGCTTCCATGGGATGTTCAGGACCTTTCTCAGGCACAACTCAAAGACATCAATTCTTCTACCAGCATCCTTATTCACTGCTCAAATTTCACATGCATAGCAAGTAACTGAAAAGGCCATGCCTGAGATCAGGTGCAGCCCCGTCTTTAAACTGACAGCCTTACTTTTTAGCACTTTGGGGAGGTCCCTGACAGCAAACTTTGCCAGTGTGATTTGTCTTTAGATTTCTTAACTGTATTGATTGTGGATCCAAGTAAGATGAAATTGTGCATACAAGCCATGTCTTAAGATCCTTTTTAAAAATATGTTGACACTCCCCTTCCTCTCGGGAGGCTTGCGCTTCACAGTGGGAGTTCAGGTCACCTTCATGTGAACTAGTCACACTCAAGAGGTGGCTCCTTCTAGGCCGTCCCTAGGGTCCATCCCATCGGGTGACAATCCGAAGTAGAACTTAAGTGGTCTGGGACTCAGAAATGTTCTGGTTCCTGTTTCCCTGACTCGTTGGTTCCTTGCACCGTCTGATTGTGGTGGCATGCGCGTGGCTGTGATGCTGGAAGCTGTGTGGCAGGTATTTCAAATGCCAGCAGGATCACCCACGGCGGACAGGTTTAGTGGTACTTCCAGACATGTGAGGAAGCAGACTGGGCCTCTCACTTCTGAAGTGCAGGGGCCTCTGAAACCCTCTGAATGGCAATGGAGCGTTGTCTGCCAGGGGCCGGAGGGTGAACCCTGCAGGTTAGGAGGCACCCCAAATACCCCAAAGTATCTTGATGATGCAGCTGTTGTCAGAAGGTGCCATCGAGCCAGCTGGGACTCACAGCGGCCCTGTGAACAGTGCTGAGCCCCGGCCTGGCCTGTGCCACCCGCACTTCCTGCCACACTCGAGCTCACTGCTGCAAGCACTGGGCCAAACTGTCAGGTTGAGGGGCTTCCTCTCTTTCGTCAGCCCATCCACTTTCCAAGCACGATGCCCCTCTCCAAGGAACGGTCTCCTAGCAACATGCCCACAGTGTGTAAGACTTCCCCCGCTTTGCTTCCCAGAGGTCCAGTAAGGAGGACCCAGGGCATGGCGCAGATGCAGTCAAGCTTCCAGCAAACGAAAACCTTCCTTCGCTGACCTGGCAGGGCCCAAAGTGAGGCGAAGACACACAAACATCCATTAATAACCGGCTCGTGGGACCTACGATGCAGGAGTCCCGGAGGAGAGGGTTAACGAGCGGAACGCGGAGACGGACGCGCTGGCGGCCACAGCTCAGGGTCGGACAGGGTTCCGCTCTGTCACTCACGGGCTGCTGGGGGTCCCCTACCATTCCCCTCACTGTGGCTTATTTTCCTCCCATGACACTGGCGGGTTCCCACAGGGGTAAGAGGACGAGAGTATCCAGGGAGTTCAGTTTGGTAAAGGGTTGAGCAGCTGTGCCCAGTGAAGCTGCGATGGCACGGCCAGTGTGGGTGCCACGTGGCAGTGGGGGCTCTCCGGAGAGCGGTCTTCTCTTCTGTCCTGTGGTCAGAGGCGTTGTTGGTAAAGACAAGCACCAATGTCACGTGGTCATCAGCGTGCAGCTCTTAGCCGGATGGGCTCCTCTTCTTCATGTCATTTTTATTTTATCCTGGGTTTCTTAAAGCTTGTATGCATTGTTTTTCACACCAGATCGTCCCCATTTTCTTTACTCACCATTCCTTCCACCCATCACATTGTGGGACCCTCTGATTACCCCCCCGATGCCCTCACCCCTGCCCACGCTCACCCCTGTGGGACCCTGTGATTACCCCCCGATGCCCTCACCCCTGCCCACGCTCACCCCTCTGCTCCCCTGCCTCGGACCCTCACACACGTTCTGACACTTGTCTTACACAGTGTCTGTCCTTAGGGGACGGAGTTACTGGAGAGCACTATGCTACGTGGGCTAACTCTGGGCTCCTCGCCTCGATCACGTCAGAGGTCATGGGGGGCCCACCCATATGCTCCTTCTGTCCGTTGGTCCATCACCAGGACAGCCCCCGTGCAGCCTCACAATGGCAGTTTTTCCTTCTGCTCTCTCGCCCACCTCGATCTGCTGGAGTGGATGTCTTCTCACGTTGTAAGAACTCAGGACAATGTGATGCGTAAATGAATGGGTTTTACACGGGTACTCCCTCCTAACCCACCCCCTTAACCCATCAAACCGTGCGACCCCATCATCACCCCCCTATTCCCACCCCTCTGCTCACCCTCCCCTCTGATCCTCATACATGTTTTACTGGTTACCTATTTCTACAATAATGGTCTTACACAGTATTTATCCTTACGGGACTGAGTTAGTTCACTTAGCATAACACTCCAACTTAGGTAGTGATTTATAAAGTCATTGCTTCTGTGTGCTGCGCAGTATTCTATCATGTGAATGTACCATCGTTTCTCAGTCCATTTGATCGTGGTTGGACATCTGGGCTGTTTCCATGTTCTACGCATGAACGATTTTGAAGCTGTTTCATCTCTCAAGAGGGCAGCCTATCCCAACTTTGAAGCTCTGTTTAGTCTCTTGAGAGGGTGAGCCTGCCTCCCGTTACCCTAGCACCTGGATGAGCATCCCCTCACAATGACCAGGACAACGGGGCTGCACTTGAGCGCGGGTGGGCTCGTCAGGGGTGGACCTCCCAGTGTGGTGCTGCAGGCAGGCTTCCCGGGTCACTCACTCCCCACCACCCACCCAGCTCTGTCCACACACGTTCCCGAGGGGACAGCGGATGGCCTGTTCTGATTCTGTCCGTTCTGACCTCACTCCGTGACAGTCCTTCAGGATGGGGACATGGCCCTGGGAGAGTCTCGCTTGGAGTAGAAGGCCTGGGCCACGGACAGAGACGAGGCAACTTGGTGCTGGTGGGAATCTGCCCAGCCCCCCTTCTCCTGACTCTGTGGGGGGGTTGCGGGGGCTCTGGAAGGTCCCATGTTGCCCAGGGGTGGAGGTGGTCCCCGGGGTGACATTTTGTGGACATGGAAGTGGTGTAAGCTTCTCTAGTCCATGGCAGGGGTTTGGGAATACGGTTGTCATCGGCTGAGCAGCTCTGTCTGTCTTCACTGTTTTTCTTCTATACAGCTTCTGAAAAATGGATTTTTCTTTTATGCTGATTTGCATACTGCTGTGCTGCAATGCAGGATTCCTTTTGCTTGTGGTAAAGTTACCTGTGCAGGTAGTAGACGCTGTACACACATCCACGTGGCACGCAGGGCCAAAGCTCCGGGGCTTCTCCGCCGTAACCAAGCTCTCCGAGGGCTGAGTTGGCTCCGAGGGCCCAGCACCCTGGTGGGGAAACTAATGTGGCCCACAGAGCGTGAGCGTGACGACAGTTCTAGAAGCTTGTGAACAGCCATTGAGGTACAACTGTTGGTCTCTCCTGCTTGGGTCTGAGGAGGAGGAGGAGGCGGCCCAAACCTGCACGAACAGGACCTCCAGGAGGTGCATTTACAGAGGGCCCTGGTGGTGATGGTCTTCACGGCCAGCCCCTCTGCTGACACAGGAACAAGATGACCTCCCGAGAGGGGGTGAGCGCATCTCCTGATGCAGGGGGCCCTGAGCATGCAGCCACTCGTCACCTCCAAGGTGAGCCCACTTGTCCTTCTAGCTGTGGCCCTCTCCCCCTCCCCCCGCCCAGGTGATGCTTGCACAGCACAGCCCCTCGGGCGCACACCTGCCCAGCCTGTCCCTGAAGGTGGTAGTTCACAGCACAGCCCCTC